GAAGTAGAAACTAGTGAGAACATTGGTTTGGTTATTGTACCAAATTTCTTATTGTTAGAAAAGATGCTTAAAGAGAAAGAAATTAATATAAATTATTCAAAATGACATAAATTGTTTGTAGCTTTCAATATATAATCCTGATATTGTTTAAGATTCGATGTCATAAATTCAGGGTTGCCACGCTACCTGGAAAACCGGGAAAAGTCAGGGAATTCGAAAATTGACCAAAATATTCAGGGAAAAGTCAGGGAATTTAAGTATTTTTGTCAAAATCTGGAAAAGTCAGGGAAGTTCATACAACGATCCCGCCAAAAAAAAGCGATTTTTGCGCCGACGTCGGAAGAGATAACTTTTTTGGCGAATTATGTATCACGTGAGTGTCATTCGGGTAGCTGGCATAGAGCCAATTTTCGCAGCTCCAATTTGATTGTCTTTTAGAATGGCAAAGCAACTTTCCCGCAACTTTAGGTTTCCAGTATTCTCGAGAATAGCATGTGCAGTGCATGAACTAAAGAAAGTACCTGTTCTCGTATAAAACAAAATGGGTTTAATCCTAGTATACGGTATCATGGAGGTTAGAATCAAAGAATATGTATTGTAAAGAAGGAAAACCTCTCTGCAACAGGCTCCATTCCATCATAGAAGGAAACAGCTGTGCATGTCTGATATATCTCGCCAAAGCTCGAAACCGGTGTCGAAGTTCGAAGGTCACGTTATCAAGAGTTAATAAAATGAATATCGTTTAAAATTTCTTTAACCACTTGCGCTAAAAAGACGTGCCACGCGCGTTAAGATGCTTTTGTCTCAAACCGCGAGCGACGTGAACACCACGTCGCACGCATTTTTGCGATAAGCATTTATCGCAAAAATGAAAATAACGTGGTGCACACGTCGCCTAACAACGACATTGTTTATTTCTCGAGTTACAGCTCTGGATTGCACTCGCAGATGCGGAGCGGCGTAAATGAGACACTTTACCGCTTAGCGCACGGCACCGCAATCGTGAAGTTTAGTCTTAGCGCAAGTGGTTAAACTCTAAAGGAAAAAAAATATTTTTTGGCGCAAGTAAATTAATTCATGGATTAGTTATTTTCAGGGGAAAAAAAAAAAAAAAACTACGAAAATCCGTTTTTAAAATTATTGCGAAAAATCCAAGAAGAAACGTCCTTTGATAAAACGTTTCTTCTTGGATTTTTCGCAATAATTTAAAAACGGATTTTCGTAGTTTTTTTGTCAAAAGTCGTTTCTTCTTAACACGTGTTTCTCAATTTCCTGTACACATCGCGGAGAGGAAAATTCTGGCCGCCAGGTTCCGTCGCCAAATCCCTTGGCAAATTTTCCCTCCGCATTCTAGCGGCGTAATAGCATTTTACTTGTATGGAACCTTTTCTTCTTTACATAGACGTTCTTTGGTTAGAATAATAATGGGATTTGGCGACATCATGATGCGCAGTAAACGGGTCATTTTGGTCTTGGCGACAATTTTCAAAATCGTGCCAAAGCCTTACCGTATACTAGAATTTTACCGCAAAATCTTTTTAAACCTTTTTTTTTCTTTTTAATAAATACCTTGCCATTTTGCAGTAAAATAAAAAAATAGTAATCAGTCATCTAGGCTAAGCCATGTAATATAACTATATTCGCCAAAATATCGTTGATTATTCTAATTCAATTAATAATTAGTAATTATCTTTATTTTATGTTATTCATATAATTTAATGTTGCTTCTTCCCTCTAAATTTATTTATTATTAGTAAATAATATTTCCAAATTTCAGGAAATTTTCTCTGGCATAATCCTGAAATTAATTATAGCAGTATGATGACATACCATCACGAAATTTAATGCACATATTTTTTCCTTATGTATGCTGCGAAATAAATATAAAATACCTCAATTTATTAATATTCTTTCATTTAGCTGCAAAATGTCTGCAAAAAAAGCCTTATTTTATTCCAGATTGGGAAGATTCTAATCTCAATCTTCAGTGGAGAAAACAACAACTGTTATAATTATATTTGTGTTTTCAAGTGTTAAGGTGCCTTTTAAGAACATACCTCACGCAAATTAAATTTACCTAAAATCTAGCCTAACTATTTAGCATTGCGTTGTGATTTATAAGGACCGGATTAGCCTCGTGTTGAACTGGTGATGATCATGAGTGATAATTAAATAAAACATACATTTGTTATCCAATGTATATATCTTAAATTTTATTAAGTTTCTTAAGTGGAAAACTAAACAAAATTATCAAACAAAGTATACCAAGAATAATTAAGAATAAATGTCTTCTTGGATTTATTGAATAATTAAGTGAATTTGCTACACAATACAAGTAATACCATAATTAATTTACCTCTTAGCACAGCCAACGTACATTACGCGGATAGACTGGAATTTTCTTGAAACACACCTGGAAAACCTGGAAAAGTCAGGGAATTTCATTCTCCTGTTTGAGTGGCAACCCTGTAAATTACATGTTTTTTTTAACTATGAAATGTTCTTTGATTGTGATTTTAATTATGCTTTTATAACAAATATTAAAAAGAAAAATTAATAATGGCCATTTAAATCTATAATGACTAAGGGTATCTAACTATCTAATTTAATTATTTGTAACTAATTTTTCACCCTAGAAGTTATTTCCGTGTGTTAAAGCAAGTTATTGATTGTAATTAATTCTTACTGTGGTCACAAGATACAACACAACTGATGTAAACGTTAAAGTAAAACTTATTCCTTACAGCTAGTGAGACTTGAAATAATATAAAACAACTTATATAAAACAACTATATAAAACAACCTGTCTATTGCTTTAACAGCTTATTTGAAAAAATACATTAACTGGATTACAACTCCAGAAACTCTGTGCAAAACCATGACACTTATTACACCAGAGAGATGGTGCATAACTCATTAGGTATTTTCTGCCTCCTTTCTGCATCCCTTCATGGTGTAACAGTAGCATACTCAACATGTATTCGAGAGTTCCAGGTTCAAGTCCTGGCGAGGGCATGGCTCATTTTTCAAGTTTCCTACTTTAAAAGCCCTAATGACTCTACAGACTAATTTTTTCACACTTACCAGTTATGCCAACATTAGGTGTTCAGATCTGTTTTGATGAGCAGGTCTTTCGGCAGCAGCAAACCTTCTGTTACAAATCATGCTGATTATTTAAAATGATTATGATCGTCAAAAGGCATAGGTTATGATTAAAATGATTATTATCGTCAAAAGGCATAGGTTCTCATTTTAACTTATGCCGTATGGCATAAAATCTGCATACTATTCTAAACCTCGAGATTGATCAAGTGCCTGACAAAATGAGACATAAAAGAAAAAATCACTGTCCATAAAACTGTCCATAAATATAAGCTAACTGTCCATAAAACATAATAAAATGTCACTAATCTTTAAACATGTCCAACTACTGTATGTCTAAAATGTTTAGCGATGAATTCAGTTTCAATGATGGAATTTTTTACTTCGTTGCATGGCATGCGATGCCGACCAAGAAGGGGTTATTGGGAATGGTATTTAATTGCTGCCAGAGTCCAGCTTATACCGTCCATTATACATTAAACGCACATGCGTAAAAACATTATGCGCATGTGTAAATGCACATGCGTTTACGCATGCGCTTAAAGTTTGCAGCTTTGGTAGGTCCGGATTATAGATCATTCCGGATTATGGACGTCCGAATTACAGACTTTGTACTGTATTACAAAAGTGAAGTTCAGGCATAGATAATATCTTTAATTGAATTTATTTAGTTCCCATTTGCAGATGGGTCCTTAGTTTCCCATATGCAGAAATGTGTACGAATCCTGAAAACAGAAAGCAGTCGTCCTGATAGGTTGCTCCTCTCTGACTTTCATTTTCAGAAGATGACAGAATGATTTACATTTAAGATTTGAACTATTTCTGACTGTTAATGGCCTGTTTTGAGATGTCCTATACTCATTTAAAAAAGAAAAAAGGCATTAGGGAACGGGTAGTCTGAAAGTTTTCATATTTTATATTATTCCCAAAGGAGCGTTTTTCTAACATTTTGCATGTTATGTTTATTCATGAAAATATCACGTTATTCGGTCTTAAAGCATAAAATTCACTTCAACAGCAGTATGGATTCCGGTGTTAGAATCGCAAAATATTTAAAAAGAACATATCTTTAGAATTTCTGATACGCAGTCTTGCATGCTGGAGATAATTTTTTTTTTTTTTTTTTTTTCTTTCCTTACAGTTTTGCCATTGCTCACTTTGAAATCATTGAATTTGTTAATCGAAAATTTGTTAAAAGTTTTACAAAACATTAAATAGATAATAAAACATATTCCAAATTCGGCTTCGAGATGCTTATTATTTGAGTGGAGGACTGTGCTATATAAAATCTGATATCTGGAAGTTCTGTTGTTTTTTTTCACAGTGCAAGAAACATGCATACATTCGTGCAAATTCTTCATTATATAGCCCATCTGGGAAAATTGCCAATTTGGACTTTAAAAAAATTGTTTTGTTTTTTCTTTTGAAGTCCATGATATAGAAATAAACTCCTTTCTTTTTAAATATATAATGCAAAATTTCCTGAAGTCCAAGCACAAAACAGTAATTTATAATCCGCAGCACATAATCATAGGCAAAAATAATTTAGGTAAAATTTTTCTGCAGTGTAATTGTTGCATGCGTACATGTGTTGTATATTCAGATTTTGTGGCTACATGCTTTTTTTCTTTTTTTTTTTTTTTCTCTTTAGACGGGCTAGTTTAAAAAACTTTTTGCTTAACTTCGGGATATTGCTGTATTTATCTTAAACTGTTTTGTTAAATAAGTTAGTAGTACAAGAAAACGCAGATAGTAAGTATATTTTTAATTAAAGAAATATGACAAACTTTTTTGCTGATATAATTGAAATTTAATTTTTGGTTTGTTTTACTTTATTATTGTTTGTAAGTTTACTTTCGATTTAAAATTTTTTTGAATTTTATTAATTCTTTCTGTAGGTATGCCAAATATAAGTTCATATAATGAAGTCATGAAACCAACAGAAGCTGTTTTATCAGTACCAGATCTTAGTAAAGATTTAAATGGACAGTTGCATTCGGAACTAGAAAGTGATTTAGAAGCTTTTTCACCAGGTATTTTGTTTTGAAATCTGTAATTTATTACTTATCAGTGAATATATTGGATACAATTATATTTTAAATCAAAGACTAAATACAGTCAAATACCGAAAATCCGCCGACCTGAAATCCGCCAACTCCTGAAATCTGCATTTGCCTCTCAAAATATAAAATTCGATTTATGGGTTCCAGAAACCGCAACATGGAGAACGAAATATCGAAGAAGAAATACTTGCCAAATAATGATGTCTTAATTACAGAATAATAATGACTCATAACGGAAATACCAGAGCAAGAAATACCAAATTATTGACATCATAGTAAAAGTTTTTTCTCCTCTAATCTGCATCGAGGTAAGAAAGCAGACGATTCACTCAACTCTTCTTTCAAGTTCACGATTCACGTTGTTGTATTTTCTGAGCTTTGTTATTTCACAAGATTATTTAGTGTTGCCTTTTTTTTTATTTGGATATTTTGTGGATAAATAAAGAATATTTTAAATTTCAGCCTTTTTAATAAAATTACAGATTAGAAATGCACTTATGATTTTACTGTTTGCAACATTGAAAAACGACAACACGTTGCATTGACGGTAATGCAGAAAGTGCAACTTCTGCAAAAGATGGAAGACAGATACGACTTCCTCGGTTTATAGCAGAATCGTATGGAATTGCGATACGACTGAGTATGATATACAGAAAATATAGAAAAGCTGTTGAATTTTGATGAAATGGAACTGCGCGATTGTGTATGATATACGGAAAAATAGAAAAGCTTTAAATTTTATGGCAACAGTGGTGATTCTAAACAGAATCGAAATCCGAAATCTCTGCATGAGGCGAAATCAGAAAACATCGATGCTGTGTATATGTATACAATAAATAATATAATCAGTTTATATACGTAATAATAATTTAATGCATATAATAAGTTATTGCAATAATGTATATAATAATTTAATTAAATGTATCTAATACGCTTTATTCATTTTGCACTTTTAGTCCGAATATTATGCTTTATCTTTTCTGTCCTGAAATCTGCAAAATCCTAAAATCCGCACAACCTCTGGTCCCAAGCTTTGCGGATTTCTGGAATTCTACTGTAGTACCTTTTCCTATGATTGTTAGTTGCAGCCAAAGAAGAAGGTACTATTTTGTGGAAACTATAAAACTGCATATTACACTTCTATGCCAATCCCTGTTGCCAAATTTTGCTCGCTTCTAGATTTTAATTCATTTGGCATGCATCTTTGTACAGTATTATTATATATGCCAAAGAGCCATTACATTGTGACCACTCTCCATCTGTAACAATGGGCTCACCTAGGAATAAAACCACTGAGTATGTGCAGCTGATGTTGTAGTATATAAAATGGCTATGCATTGTCTTTCCAAACATAGCACAATTAGCAACATAATGGGAAAAGCAGCTGATTTATCAGACTTCTATAAATGTCAAATCGTTATGCCTTGGCAAACTGGTAACGTCAGTATCAGAAACGGCATGTTTAGTGGGCTTATATCAGTATCAGAAACGGCATGTTTAATGAAGAAGTTGTGAGTAGATATTGAAAGTAGTGTGTGGTTGGTGAAACGTCAAGTCGCCAGCCAGCAGTGTGTTGTTCACGGCTCATTGATTCCAGAGGAGAGCGGAGATTGATATGCATTGTTCGCGGTGACTGAAGAGCTACAACAGCCAAAATCACCACCAGCTACAACAGTGGAAACCCAGACAGTGTTTCTCAACACACTGTGCAGCGTACATTGCTGCATATGGGCCTGTGCAGGTGGAGGCCGAAGCATGTCCCCGCACTGACAGCGCGGCATCACCAGCTGTGTCTGCAGTGGGTCAAGAAACATTGAAATTGGACATTAGAAGAATGGAAGAAAGTTGCATGGTCCAATGAATCACATATTCTGGTCCATCACATCGACGGGCGTGTGCTAATATGCCGATTTCCAAACGAAACTCTGGCACCTGGATGCACAGTTGGTTGGAGACAAAGTGGTGTGTGCAATATTTTCATGGAGCACATTAGGACACATAATCTCCATAGAACAATCCCTGACGTCTGTGTGCTGTGTGAACATCCTTGCAGATTAGGTTCACGTATTCAAAACAACAGTATTTTCAGCGGGGGATGGTGTTTACCACAGGATAATGCACCATGGCAAGTTTCAAATTGTCAGGGAGTGGTTCGAGGAACATTCCAGTGACTTTCATGTGTTAGCCTCCAAATTTACCTGACATTAATCCAATAGGGCATTTGTGATCCCACCTGGGAAACCAAATTTGTGCTGCCACACTATTCCCTTGCTATGTGAGGGAATTGCAGGACCAGGTGGTGAGCACTTGCTACCAGATACCTCTGACTACTTATCAGCACTTTGTGATCAATGCCACACCAGGTGCTATCAGTTTTAAGGGCTAAAGGTGGTCCTGCATGTTATTAACAAGGTGGTCATAATGGTAATGGCTCTTTGGTGTAAATATACATGGTATTATGTATAAGAAATTTTTTGTACAAAGAATATATTTTTTATTAAAAAATGTTTCTGTAAGCAGTTTCTCAAAGCATATGTTTTTAAAGCATAAAATCATGTTCAAAAGCTTTGAAGTATAAAATGCCTTTGTTCTTAAAGTTCAGGGTTTGTACAATCCTGAAAAGTCCTTAGGTTTTTTTGAAAGCGATTTTTGTTCCTTGAAAGTCCTTAGTTGTAGTCAAAATCCATAAAAGGTCCTTAATTGTACTCATTTGACATTTTTGTCTGACTGTAAGTGCCATTTAAGTGTTAATTAATATTTTTGGGGAATATTTTTGGTGATTCATTAAGAAATATATATTGAATTATTTGAATTCTTCCCTACTTCTTAATATGAACAGGTGTGATTCTCGAATTTTTGGGCATGATACCCTGCTTCTATTGGAACATTAATATTTTTAAATTGTTTCTTTTTTAAAAAATGAAGAATTCATAAAATATTATGTCAAAACAACTTTTCCTTTTTGAGATATGTTTTCTTTTATTGTGCGGTGCTTTATTTAGCAACTCATCAACATTTTGTATATAAATTTTTTTTATTTGGAAGTTTGCTCATTTTTTGATATGATATATTCAATGATAATTAATAAAAGTAATGATAATTTATTAAAACTGTAATTAAGAAATATCATTAAAGCCAGAACATTTTTATTTTTTCATGGCAGGTTTTAAAATGTCATTACTTTCCATTTTGAATTTAAAAAACTATTTTGATTTTGAAAAGTAAATTAGATAACAAATGCTATATAACACAGTTTCCAAAGCACTTAGCAAAAACGAAAAGGCTACTTAGTTATTTAAAAGTTAATTTCATCTGTCTTCTTTCTTTCTTAATTTTTCATAAGAGTTTTTTTCCCTATGTAGTTGTTAAAGAATATACAAACGTATGTCAGTTTTCTCTTAGAAATTCCCTTTATACTTTTCATTTTTAAAATTTTTTATTCAAAAATATTTTGGCTTTTTGCTTTTCAAAGTGGTATATTTTTTGGACCTTGCACCATGGAAGGTTTACAAGGATGTGAAATAGAAAAATGTAATAAAATGAAAAATGCTTTTATGGCATTAATGCATAATAAATGGGTTTTATAGGGAATTCACAATGAATGTTTTCTATTTTTTGAAGAATTTTTTTAAGAACTGTGAAAATTAAGTAATTTAAATTTTCTATTTTTGATCCTAAAGTTTCTCTTAACATGTTTATCTTCACTTCATTTTCTCACCTTTTCACTAGACATTAGGTGGAAAATTACAAAAGTGATTCTAATCTTTTCACATGGACATGCATCTGTAGAAGTGAATTTTTCTATTATTAAAGAAATTGAAAATGCATAATTTAAGCATTGCACCATATATGGGTAGGCATTTTGCCACCTGGTGTAATCTCTGTAGGTTCTGAATTGGTTCTCCTTGGATCCTACCCATTGTCTTGCCTTAAATTCTAAAAATTTTGTTAATCTCTTATTCCTAAACTTTAAATTTTGTTGCTCAGTGCCTTACTGACTTCTAAATTCTCCATAATTGCTCTGGCCTTAGATTATTTTACATTTATTTTCAAAACTCATATTATTAAAGAAATAAAATTAGCAGTTTCTTCTATACTTTCTAAGTTCTTTAGAATAACATAAATCTTTAATTAAATCTGAGAATTCTAAAATAAAGAGAAAACTCCTTGAAGAAGATATTGATTTTATAAAAGAGAGGAAATTATTTTTCAAAGGTGCATTGTTGAAACATTGACAAATTAAGAGAAGAAGCAGAAATTAGTTGAAGCATTGATTTGTTTATTGAGACAAATAAACTTAGAAAATATGCTAAAGAAAAGAATGATGATTAGCTGAAATATCTGGGAATCATAAAATCATAAATATTTTGTTGTAAGTTGTGGTTACAAAATGTATTCGTTTTGTAGCTTTTTATGTGTAATTATCTTAATATAATTTCAGAATCAATATCATAGCATGAATATGTAGAACAGTACTTTGAGTCATGTTTTGGTCAACATGAGCATTCTTGTCACCTAAATTTTTGCATTTTCATAGAATTCTTTGACTGATTTTCCAAGTTCCTGCACTGTAATTTTTTTTTTTAATATAATTCAAAATATGGCTTGCAAAAAAATTTCATCAAGTGATAGAATGTATGTTCCTGATGATATTTCTGATACTGTAAGTGAATTCATTATTTAGAAGATAGCAACACTGAAACAGATTTATATTTCATGACTGATCTCCAGATAGTGATGAATTTGAAAGTGATTCAATAACTGTTCTAACCTGTATTGCAGTGGTGCAAAATAGATATGAAAAAAATTCCACTAGCTTTTCAAAAAGAACAACCAATTGTAAAAATTACAGCTTCTGGAGTTTTGCATACAAATGGTTCAGCAACGTATCCAAAATTTTTCAAATGGAGATATATGTAGTACACCTGAAAGACCTATTTCTGCTTTCAACCATCCAAGATTGATAGCTC